ATAACATTACTTATATTGTAAGGTAATTATATATTAAATATAAATTTTATCCTTTATAACAAAAAGAAGATAAAATCCTATTAACCGATGATAGTTCAGTTATTGATTGCAAAGTATTCGTGAATTACCGACCACCGATATATGCATTTTGACTTTTATCGATGAGTATCGTATGCACTACGAAATTAAAAAATAAATAGAAGATGCACAGAAAGGACGAGAACGATGAACCCGGTGTGTATGCATCGTCCAAGGGCCGACGCCCCCTTTTCAAGGCGAGCAACTCTCGCGAGAAGGATTACAACATTTTTCCGACGATGGTATTTTTATCATTCGTCGAACCTTTCGCCTTCACTTTCATAGAGTCTAGGCGAATGCACAATATCAGACCCACCACATTTTTTATAATTACAAGCAAAAATAAAAATTCTGCACCTTATATTTCTAGTCTATTTGCTTCAACTAGACACTTCAACAACAAGACTGCGAAAAATAGTGTACTACGCATGCGATTAAAAGAGATATTATATTCGTACTCACCACTGGAAAGCATTGAAGTGGAAGTAGACAAGGCCTAAACCGTATAAAAACGAAGCATCCTTCCAGTAGTCGCCTTTTAAAGAGTAGAATTTCTGATATGCCGACATTGCTGTAATAAAAGCGAAAAATAATTTATTAGAGCAGCGCTTTGCTTAATATTAACACCAGTTAAATAAAAATCTTACATTCAAGGTAGTAATCAAAGATGTAAAAAAACAAAAAAGTTATTCTCTTGACTGAAAATTGATTTTGAGTATTGAGAGGCGTTTCTGTAATAATTTATTTTGGCAATATTCTCGAACAACAATTTATACATTTTAATGTTTTACAATGTATACACAACAGTGTTTCTCTGTTCAAGAAGAATTAAATAAAATAGTCACGTTTGCTCCGTGTCAATTTTACACTTATTAATTGAATGACTAGTTTGGCAAATTTGTCATTAGTTTACCAATTAGTTTGAATTTTGAATATTTTAATCTTAAAAAATAAACACCTTTGTTATAATCTTCTAAGAGTAGATGAAAGTGTCCTAGTTTGCAATATGTCTTAGGATCAATGCTTATCCCCTTATCTTCGTCTTCATTTTCCTTGGATTCATCGGGACCTGCTTTTGTACTATCAGCTTTTCTACATTGCTTTTCATCCTGAGCTTGAACTAGCATACGCTCCAAGTATTTAATGGCACGGACTACCAGAGCCTTCCTTTTTGCCTGTTCCGGAGAATTCAACTTGAGGAATCCAAACTGTCGACTGTGCGTGTAAAATAACAAAATTGCTTTGTATTATGATACATATCTTCATTTTATCGCGATGCACACAAGTTCTGTTCAACAAACCGACAGTTATACTTGTGTGCTCCAATAATTTACATCATCATGGATCATTCTCCTAATCATAATTTCGTAAATAGAGGCATAATATCCAGTCTCGCAATTTTTACGTTGGTTCAGTCACGGTCGACGTATTGTTATCGCAAAAATTTCGCGACACATTCGCGGAATGTAGTACATTCGGAAGCGTAAAAGGGTGTCAGTAGGTTGCGAGCGAGCGCGCTGTCAAACGTATTTTTAGGTTATACTGTGATGCGGCTTGTTGTAACGAAACATTTCGCGCTTCGAAGATACAATTTTGCGACCAAAAAGGGACAAGAATCACACATCAAAAATATCGAGCGATTACCTATCCAGCTCCGACAGCGTCTGCAACTCTTGCGGTGTGAGGTTGATGTCGTCGGTGTCTTGTGCCATTTTCCGCGCGCTCTTGGCTCGACAACGACTCCGCACGTGTCATTCACCCGTTAGCGTCCGCGACCTCGAGACGAAAATCGGTACGATAATCCGCCAAATACGTCGACGAGGAAGTCGCACGGCGCCGTCACCTCATCGCAGCGAGCAAATATCGGCGAAGTAGCGGCGACGGCGACGATGTCGACAGCGACAATGCGAACTGATGTAGAAACACGGACGCCGCGTTATCACATGACGCGAGTCGAGCGCCACGGTCGACCGCTAAAGTGCATTCAGACAACATGCATAATTGCATTTTACATATACAAAAGAAAATCAACCAATTACGCGTCCAAAAATTCATGTTAAACACGTAATTGATCAATTTTCTGATAAAAATGCATTGTACAATCATAGAAATTCGTTTGGATATAACTTTATCGCTGATTTTCGCGGAACGTCGTGACCTGAATTGATTCAAACAGTAGTCTCAATCAAACACATAGAACTTAGTATATTTTATATATTATTGGTATAAATATGCAATCAAAAATTTAGTTGATTGATACAGATCCCTCTGCGAAAAAACACTCTGCGTATCAAGTGAGTATAAACTATCAAGATCAATCACGTGGTCAATGACGTACTAACGCATGCGTATGAAAATGTTCCGATTTACTCCACCATTTCACAAAAAGGCAGAGCGCACATGAGCGCATAGGAGCGCGTGCGAAGAAATGTTAGTGTGGTTAGGACTGTGCAGTGCGAAAAGATAAATTAAATGTATGATTACGAGAGACATTATCTATGTTTCACCATTAATAATTGACTTAATGCCAGGTAATTTAGAAAATAAGTAATAGAGAATAGTCAATCTCGAAATAAAATTTGAATATATTAAATAAATAATTGAATGCCTCTTTTTAAATAACACTAATATCAGTAATACTCGTTGGAATTATTAATATGTACTATTAAATATAACTAAAACAAGCACATATATCATTCATTTATTATATCGATTAAATAAATAATGTCAATAATAATATTTTTTCTTTTCTTACAGAAATGCATCAAAAACCTGCTTAAATTTGTTAAGAGATAACTTATTTTTATATGAAGGATACATATTCACAAGGCAGCATGCATTGGCTCAAGATCTCATGTATCCTGTGTTTGTTTGGATGTTTTAAGGACTTCCGTCCCTCTGAATCATTTATAACAGATTACTTGACAGGGCCATGGAAAAATTTCACTACTAATGAAGTAAGTTCTTAGAACACACAATGACTAAATATGTATTTAATAATTAGATGATGTTAATAGTATATGAATCTTTCAGGTGAATCAAGACATCTATCCTGTGACGACATACAGCTACTTAGCAACACTAATACTCGTGTTCCTGATCACAGACTTTGTACGATATAAGCTTATCATCATTCTCTGTGGTCTCTCTGGCATTATTACATATCTCATGATAATCTTTGGAAAGACTGTGATGATGTTCCAGATTGTGGAATTCTTTTACGGCTTATTCTTTTCCACAGAAGTGGCCTATTACACTTACATTTATGCCAAAGTAGATAAGAAGCACTATCAAGAAGTGACAAGCCACACTAAAGCAGCTACACTCTTTGGTCGCAGTTTGTCCGGCATTGTAGCGCAATTAACGGCCTCTTTTAATTTGCTGGACTATCACCAACTGAATTATTTAACTCTCTCAGGTATGTAAGATAAGCGGAATTGCAGGAAATCAATCGTATACACGTTCAAATTAAATTCAAAGTCAAAGAACCCAAAAAATTCACGTACATTTAATCGTAATTTGCATAAAACTCTACCTAACAACGATAATTATGATAATGTGTACCCAACAAATCGCGATATTCGCGATTTATATAATATAAAGTTGTTTATCATTATGTAATACTTAATAAATAATTGATAATTGATATTTGGCAATTGTGACATTATTAACGTGCATTTATTATATATTTCAGCTAGCACTATTGCGACGGTCTGGTCGTTCTTTTTGCCCTCCGTAGGCCAATCGATATATTTCCATCGTGCCAGCGTTTCCGACGAAGAACAGGGGAAAGGAACACTTGATCATCATTCGCAGCATTTGAGCAATTCGCGAGAATTAGCCAATAATAAGATTGATGAAAAAAAGCACTGCTGCTATGCTGTATCAGCGGCACCGCTGCTTCGCAAGATCAGAAACGCCTATGCGTTATTATGGAAACACTTTGTACAAGCTTACACTGATTATCGCGTGGTCAAATGGTCGGTTTGGTGGGCCCTGGCAACCTGCGGCTATTTGCAAGTCATTAATTACATGCAGCTGCTGTGGCAGACTGCGGTAGGACCAAACGACATGATCTACAACGGCGCCGTGGATTTTATCTATGCGATCGTAGGTGAGGAAAAAGTTTTAGAAAGCTACAAGCTTTGTTCGAGTCTCATAAAATTCAAGTAGGAAAGAATAAAAGAAAATGTAAATCATCTGAAATATTTTCATGCTGTATGCGATTCACTCTATATAATTGGAATATTATCACGACTATCGCTACATCTTCGTTAATGCTATTTGTTGAGTACTTTGCATGATTAATTTTGTCTAATCGTAGATATCTGTGCGAGATAAATTTGATAGTAACTCGCTAGTAACAGCATGTGTTAATGTCGTAAACATAATTTTTCTTTCATCTATTATAAATTATAAATTATAAAAATAGTTTTAATTGCGCCTTAAATTTAAATTATTAAATCTCTCACTTTCATTAATACAGATTTAATATAATACAGGTATAGTATAGGATTTTATCACGCCAATGAAAATTCTCTTACATAAATTATATGAGACGTCCTTCGCAAAAAATGTCCGTGAACATAACAAGGGTCATATTTATATCTATCGATAAAAATGATATATTTAACAATTTAAATTAAAACGAGTTGCATAAAATGCTTCATTAACAAGCTGATTTATTTGTCGTGTGATAAACATATAATTCAATTAAATTAATGCGTAGTTATCTAGTTCAATAAGATTAATCATCAAGCGATAAGATCAGAGAGCTCAATTAAACAACTCATTATATAAAATTATCTTTTCGGAGCGGTAATTTTTTAAATGTACTTTTCTGGTTTTACTAGGTGCAGTGACTGTATTTTGTGTCGGAAAGGTTCGATTAAATTGGACTCTAATAGGGGACATAATGTTGTCCGTGTTCTCGCTTCTAGAAGGCGTTATATTGTTAGCATCCTCTTACAGTCACAATATTTGGCTTCTATATGCCGCCTACGTCACATTTGGCGTGATTTACCACACCATGGTCACTGTTGCAAGGTAAACTATCGTTGCAATTACAATGCGATTTAATTCAATAGTACTGTCAAGATTCGAGATAAATATTCGAACTACGGCGAGAGCATATGAAAAAAAATCAGACATTTTCTTCTGCTTGTTCATAGCTTCGAAGTCGCCAAATGTATATCTGAGGATAGCTACGGCCTGATATTCGGGGTGAACACGTTCTTCGCATTATTAGCGCAGAGCTTGCTAACGCTCGTAGTTGTCAACACGCTTTTACTGGATATTAGACAGCAAGTAAGAATTGTGCTTAAAAAAACGTATAAAAATTAGTGTTTCTGCAAATAACGCGAGTTTTCGTATTTTAGTTTTTTGTTTATGGTGGCTATTTTGTAATTTTGGCTGTGGTATACGTTATAATGGGCATCATCAACATCGTGCAACACCGTCGAAGCGATAAAAATTTTCATCTATGGATCAACGATGACAATAAATCATCTGCGGCGCAAAACACGAGCGACATAACGTCGTTCAAATCCGAGCAAAATGATAGTTGAGATAAACACATCCTAGCAATTATAATTGTAGTACGAAAATTATGTACATACTTTTTTATTTGTTGAATTAGTTTGCGTCGTGACTGTTATTATTGTACTAAAAAATATTTTTCTCTTACCGATATATACAACCTATATTTTTTTTCGCGGCGCGTTGTTGTTTCTGTTGTTTTAAACTGAGATATTTTTGTACGTATCGTATGTAGAATATACGCACAATGAATCACGTGTAGTATTAAATCATGAAGTATTCCTATACTTAAAAGAGTGAAACGAAATACTTTGTATCTATTTAGATTGGTGCGAAGTCTGTCATTTTTTTTGTCTAATAAAATTCTGTTTTTCATTAAAGCATCAGAAATACGGAACTTTTACATGACTGTTTAATTTTAATTTTATTTGAAAAAAAATGACAAACTTGTTTTTAATCAATCTACAGTTATTACCTCGTGAAAAATAAATGATAATAAAGTTGTTCGTATTTTTACAGTTCGTATTTATACATACAATCCGTTGCATTTACTTTTTCTTCAAACGAGATTCTTGTAGAAAAGAATAATGCACTCACGAAGCATCTCTACTTTAAGAAGTAAAAATGTTTCTGTATTCATTGTAGTGAATGTGATTTTATATTCTATATAAAATCTGTGATACTTGAATAAAATTATTTTTAAATTATAATTTTCTTTATTTTCTTTTCTTCCTTTATTCCCTCAGATAACAACTATTGTGAAAGCAGTTGATTGATTGAAACAATACAACACCTCGATTAATAACAATTGTTCGATATCGCAACACTACTTGTCTTATCAAGCTTACAACCTTCAGATATGTAAAAAAAATGTATGTATTCTGATTAAAATTATTACTTTCAACCAACTACATAATGTCACGCACAATCGACAAAATTTTACAATTTGATATCACCAGTTTAATTGAATAATCTTGTGAGAAAAAGGCAAAAAGAGCCGTAGCTAGTTCTTCGTACAAAAATTATATTATATTATACGTCCAATGAGGAACCATTTGGTCTCTAACTCTTCCATGGTTCCTCATTGGACATACAGTTTCGGCTTATACGTATAATGCCAATTTTCAATCTTTCCATATAGAAATAATCTTTCTTTGAAATTAACTGGCATGAAGAATATCTTGCGTATATCGTCTTATTTGTTTGTCAGACGCTTCGACGCTTGAGATACCGTTTATTATGTTTTTTTTTATTTTGTAACGACACTGAGGAAAGCCTAACATAGGCAAAAACGTTCGTCATTGTAAATTTATAATATAATATAATTTTTGCACAAAGAATTAGCAACGACTTTTTTTGCTTTTTTCTCACAAGACTATTTGTTAATTTTAGTGGAGCCTTAATATTAATATTCGGTTAATTAAATAAACAAGCGCAATCTATTGCAATTTATTGCGCTTGTTAATTCAATTAAACTGGCAATATCTAATTGAAATAAATGTAGTTAAAAGCGTCGTATTTATAATAAGATAATTCTTTGCTTAAGTAAGCTCGTTAATTAAATTTTTTTATATTCAATATCTATTAGTTGAATGTTCATTGATTAAATTCCTGTGAATTATTATTCTTCGGATTTTCCAAAGCTCTTTCGCGCCGATTACAATTTACACTGTCATCCAATTTACAAAACCGGATGTCTTTTTATCCAACTGCGACGAAAGCTGCGGTTAATCGCGAATGATAGTCGCTGATTCGATTGGGATTTCCCCGTGTTCGCCCCGAAAGTGCCTAAACGCATGTAAACACACGCACAAACGAGAATGATGGTGTGTGAGCGCCATAGTCGTGATATACAGTCATGGACAATGATGCATGTCGTCGCAGTTGATATAATTTAGTAGGAGACGCTATTATTCGTGAAATGTCTTTTATCATTAGAAATCTCCGCGATAAATTGTTGCACATCTATATAATCTCACAATTTATCATCATGATTTATCTTCAGGTAAGGTTAAAATTACTCGCCTAATGCAATCTAGTATTCGATTTGAACAAAGTAATATCCTAATAATTAATTTTTTGAAAACTCTATTTCTGTACAAACCAAGAATATAAACTGTAACAATATTATGTTACAATGAGTTTCTGTCATATATTAATTTTTTCTTGAATTATTACAACAACAAAAATTAGTCTAAATTGTAATCTAATTTTATTTTATTTCAATAACGATGTTTTATCATTTGTCAATTCTTTTTTGATAATTGCATAGGAATTTTTTCTAAAAAGAAATCACAATTGCTACAGTGAAATTTTTTGTTTGCTGAGACGATAACCAGGTAAGCTCAGTCACTATCGTATTAGCGTTATTATATATTTCTCATTGTCAGTTAAAACAAAGTCATTAAGAAACTTGAGTAACATTTCCGAGAATTCTCGCTTGATTAGTCAGTCAACACGTAAGATTTAGAGTGCAACATAACTAAATTTACATGATTTTTTTTAATCCTTGATTAACTGTCATAAGATTCATTTTCGTTCAAAATACAGAACACGCAAATTGGATTATGATAGAAGACAATTATAAAAGAAAAATCTCTACGATATATTTTACCAATTTATACTATCGGCAAATGAATAAAATTGATTTTCACATATAGAGTAAAAAGATTATATGATTCTTCACTTCCGACATAATCCAATGTTGCAGCAGGATGCCACGAGAAGATTTAACACTTGACGGCTCATTAAGCTACTTGACCCACTAATCCCACTTAACAATTGTAGACAAACGAATAAGCGAATCTTCGAGATTAGAATTGAAATGAAAATAATAATAAATTAATTACGTTCAAATTTGATATATACGGACACCTTTCAGATAAAATAAATAGAAAAATTTGTGTAAAATTTTTATTGGCTTAAAAGCTAAAATATTTAAAATATTTAAAATCTTATTAAATAAATTCATACCGACGTTTTTTTGATTATTCAACGACGAGTCTTTAAAGAGACTTTCCATACAAGTCTTCCATAGAAAGTCAAACGTGCAAAGAATCACAAATATCTGTGTGTCGCGAGATCCTTGAAGCAGGGATTTTCTGGTAATAAAGTCAACGATTACGACTGGGCATTTCCAAGAGAGACAAGGAAGTAATGACCGATTCGCGCGAGAAGTACATAAACACACTCAGGGTCGGAGAACTGGGAAGGAGAAGCCTCAACTTAAAATGAACATAAAGATTCGATATCTCATCAGATACATTTCTTTAAATAAATTAAATGAATAAACTTGAATCTTAAGCTTTTCAAATTATTGTTGCATTAGCATCAGAATTACAAGTATCACATCTCAATAAGTTTTCTTACTAATTAAGAGTTAATATATATAATTTTGCCATAACCTTTTTACACACGAAAATATACACAAATATCAAACTACTTTTTGTATCAATTTTTTAAAAATAGAAGTGAGATCAGATTTCACGTAAAATTCATTCGTTGTATAGTCTTTCTCGTTTGTTCCTCCTTTAATCCGATCCTGAAACCTACTCGTATAAGTCCATGACGTTCTCCGGACAAACAGAGCAAGCCAATAGTAGTGAGGGAAGAGTGGGATCAACCAGGCGTTCTCCTCGAGTATCTTCGTGTTCATACAGTCTTCAGTCCTACCTTTTCGTCCTACCTCGATTGTCGCACGGACTAAATCCGCTTCGAACCAATATCGCATTTTAGTAGTTGTTCGATATCTCTCTATTTTTTCGATTTGCTGGAACTCTGAGAGTGCCGAACAATGTTTCTTACGGTGAGTGTTATTATCATCATTTATTTTCTTTGCGCACGCGATTTTATTCTGCATTGTTTTATGTGAAATTTGTTAAAACCTTGGAAGAAGATAAAAAAATGACTTCTCGCACTTCGAAATTCATTAATGTAGAATAAATTTTGTTGTTTATATTCAGAATCATTAGCATTCGCAGTAGCGTTTTACAGATCTTAATATTGTTACACTCCTTCGAGAAGTGACCTTTGACTAGTAGCCTCATCGGAAGTTCAACCGCGATAAGTTTTATCAAAAGATTGTAAATGTTCTCGTCTTCATAAGTTGAATTCGAAATTAATTTCCAGTAAACTTTATTTCAAAATTATTATCTTCAATTTTGCAAAAATTTATATTTAAAAGACTATTTAAAAGCTTAAATTTCTTAACCTTCTATAAATTCTACATTAACAGTACAAAACTAATAGAATTCTAATATATAACAAAAATAAAATTTTGAATCAGTATATCATTACATTTTCAAATATAAAATCAATTCAAGATTGATCGAAAATCCAGTAAACGGAGATAGTACGTGACAAACTTTGATTATGTTGTTGATTCGACAACACTTTCTCATATCTGAGCAATGTCATCAATTCCAGCACTGCTTATTTTTATTTTTTATCTAGAACTGCGTCAGATTTATGTAATATCTATATTCACAAACATATCGCGTCATACATAACACATTCGCATATAGCACGCACAATACTCGACACGGAATCAGAAGTTTTATTATGTATATAATATAGATAATGGAGAGAGAGGAGGGGGGAGAGAGAGAGAGGAGGGAGAGAGAGAGAGAGAGAGAGAGAGAGAGAGAGAGAGAGAGAGAGAGAGAGAGAGAGAGAGAGAGAGAGAGAGAGAGAGAGAG